TGTGGAATTTCATCGTATAGCCTGTACTGAACCACACTTGCTGAATTCTATCAAGACCACGTAATCCTTAAAGTGCGGCTATCTTGAGGTTACATATCTATATGTCGGCTTCCGCTAGGGGAAGTTATGTAAGGGCGAGTTCATTTCAGGCCTGAGAGAGTGTGGTGTGTTATTGTCGGTTTTTACGTGTTATCAACCAAACTCAAGGATCCAAAGACCTTATTGGCATAATATGTGGGAGCCTCATACTTTTAGATGTTCTTTACTACCATGTTGGCAGAGAGCAAAGCCACTTAATTACCCAACAAACGCATTAATTTTATTTCGCTCCTTCTCAACAATTCTACTGTTGCTCGCTCGTCAGTGAAAGTGGCGTCAAACTCTAGGTGAAAAAAATTTTTGAGGTTTTGGTACCGTTTAACACCGCTCGTGAAGCGTTTCCTGGTGTATTCTGGGGGTAAATGCCCCTACTTGTGTTATGCACCCTGTTTGTACGGAATTGATCTTCCTTTATGCATTGCAAAAAAGAGCAGAAAGTTCGAGAAAGCGCTCTTGGACCCTTCGGGTAGATATAAGACTTTTTGCCCGGTCTAGGAAATGCGAACCCGGAGAGTGAACATTGAATGTTACTAAGCGACCTTTGACTAGGGTGACAGCGTCATGTTAGTTTGCATTAATGCTCTCTTGAGAGGAGTCCAACAAGCATGTAGCAAAGTGTCAAATTGAACCAGAAATACTTTCGGCTATAGAAGAGCAGCGCGAGTTATAACTTAAGTTAAAGAAGCACTCTCTTATTCAATGTCGGCTTTAGTTTTACATTCAGTGAGTGTTGTTGGTACGTGAACAAAGTTTGGCATAATATGGATCCTTGTTTCTCATGTTGGCAAGAGCCCTTATACCAATATATTTGCTTTCTTTCTTGTGGTTGTGAGTGGCTATCTGGCGAAAATTGGGTGGGTAACTCGTGAGCTTCTGGTTTTTAGCTCTTTTGTGATGTTCAATCTTCTGCTTGAAAAAGGCGAATCGGAGCCTCCTCTTATATGCTTAAATCAAGGGTGACTTGAGTTTACTTTGGTTGGGTGACTCGTGAGCTTTTGATTTTGAGGTCTTTTGTGATGTTCAATCTTCTGCTTGAGAAAGGCGAGTTTGAGCCTCCTTTTATATTAAATCATGGTCGGCTTAGTTTTACATTCACCGAATGTTGTTGGTTAGTGAATAAAGTTTTGCGTAATTTTCATCCTTGCTGTTGTTAGTATGTTATCAGTGTTTGACATAATTTTGATCCTTGTTTCTCATGTTGGCAACAGCCCTTGTATGAATATATCTGCTTTCTTTCTTGTGTGTCTGAGTGGCGGTCTGGCGAACTTTGGGTGGGTGACGCGTGAGCTTCTGATTTTGAGCTGTTTTTTGATGTTGAATTTTCTGCTTAAAAAAGGCGAAACTTAGCCTCTTTTTTTTGCTTAAATCTAGGTCGGCTTCAGTTTTACATTCGGTGAATGTTGTTGGTATGTGAACAAAGTTTGGCGTAATTTTGATCCTTGTTGTTCCTGATATGTGAACAAAGTTTGGCATAATTTTGATCCTTGTTTCTCATGTTGGCAACTGCCCTTATACCAATATATCTGCTTTCTTCGATGTGTATGTGGCAGCTGACCATGATTTTGTACTTTTTTGTGATGTTCAATATTCTTCTTGAAAAAGGCAAATTTGAGCCTCGTTTTATATGCTTAAATAAATGTCGTCTTTACTTTTACATTTGGTGAATGTTGTTCGTATCTGAACAATGTTTGGCATAATTTTGATCCTTGTTTCATAATCGTAAAGTTTAAGTAATCTCTGACACCCATGTGGATCTGGACACTAAAAAGTTTATTGGATAAGATCCGTGTTGGTTACTCTTTATTCAGTATTACTGGTCAACAGCCTTATAACACCACCACCGAAAATAATCTGCTTTATCTCCTTCTTGTTTGTGCTCGACGTGGTGTCTGGAAGAAATTTGGGGTGGAGGTGGGCGGGAGGGGTAGGAGAACCCCTCGTGAATGTGAGACATTAGCTCGCATTGTTTCGTATTTGAGGTTACATTTTTGGCTTATGTTTTTCCTTATCCTTCCTGTTCTCTGACAAATGCGAATCTAAGCTCGTCCTTTTATAAACTGCGTTAGACACCACTAGAGTATAACCGTGGTGTAGTTTCTTACAATTTCTTGGTGTCGTTTGTTCGTCCGGGCCCAGATATTACGATTTATATATGCACATAGAACAGTTTTGGACGAACTAATACATTTTGATGACTTTCCTTTTTCGTTCATAGTTCGCTTTTTTGTTCCAACTAAGCCCCCTTATAGGTGGATTTGAATAAAGATTTGAACAGTGCCTTTCTTTCCTTATGGGGTGTGTGAGTCGAGCTGTCGGCGAACCCTCTTGGGCTCGGGTGACTTGTGAGCTGGCTGCAATTCTACCTTGAGATTGTTATGTGCGGGGATAGATCACACCGGGTGTATCTTCGTGCTTGAAAAAGTTTGAATTTTGAGCCTCAACTCTTTGGTATCCTTGGGCTTTATGAAGCTATAAAAGTCAGGTATTAGATAATGTAGAACATGGTCACCATTCAGCGCGGTGGTAAATGAATCTCTGTTGGTATGTCTGGACAAGCAAAGTTTGGGACAGTAATTTATCGATCCTTCTTGTTGTTGGTTAAGACGTGAGTTTCCATTAGAGGGGCTTGAATGCTTTGGATTCTGCGCAATCCAAATCAGGATATAACGGGGATTTACATGTATTCATACAAGTTGGTTACGAATCGTAGCGCACTATATATCTCCAACAAAAATCTTTGCTCTTACGTACTTTCTCTGTGTTCGCTGGGTGACTCTGCTCAGGCCGAATCACTTTTGCCCGAACATGTGGGAGAGAGATTCAGGAACGTCATAGGGCCACTGCGTTAATTTCGAGTGTAGCTCAGTATTTATTTTAGCACGCTCTTCCGTGAGTAGCTTACTTCACACTATAAGATGCCACTGCTCTATTAAAAAAGGTAAAATCTAAATCCTCCCCTATTCTTTATAAAACACGTGCTTAAATTTCAAAGGTCGCTTTTAGTAATTACATTACATTCGGTGAATGTTGTTGGTATGCGAACATAGTTTGGCATAATTTTGATCAGTCTCTCATGTTGGCCACAGCCCTTGTACTAATATATCTGCTTTTTGTCTTGTGTGTGAGTGGCTGTCTTGCGAACTTTTGGCGGGTGACTCGGGAGCTTCTAATTTTGAGCTCTTTTGTGATCCATTTTTTGCTTAAAAAAGATGAATCTTAGCCTCCTTTTATATGGTTAAATCTAGGTTGGCTCTGAGAGGTGGATGGTTTCGGGGTGAGATTTTTTATCATTAATTTGAGAATTAGTTTGCCCTGTGAGGTGGATGGTTTCGGGGTGATGGACTAGATTTGATTACAGCAGAGAGAGGTCAAAATGAAAACAGATCTCTCTAACAGCTGGTATGCATATTTTAGATCAAAAACGTAGAAAATGATACCACTAATGATAAAATTTTTCTTTAAAACTGTGACGATCTAACTTAATGCAGCAACGTGGTCAAGTATAATTAACTATAGTTGTTTAGTTTATGAACTTAATTAGTAGTTAATTGGCAATGTTTGGTAGTCTTTATGTGCTTAATTACATGTTACCATAGATAACTCTAGTTAATTAGTTATGTTACTAGTGAACTAATTAACTAAGTTGTTCAGTTTATGAACTTAATTAGTAGTTAATTAAAGTTAATTGGTAATGTAGAATTAACTCTAGTTAATTAGCAATGTTTGATGCTTTAGCTATTAATATATGAGCTTAATTACTAGTCAACTATAGTTAACAATTTTAGATAATCTTCTTAACCGTAATGACTTAGATAGTCTACTTAGTTTATGTAGTTAATTAATATAGATAACTATAGTTATCTAGTAATTAACCATAGTTGCTTAGTTTATGAACTTAGATACTCTTCTTGAACGTGGAGACTTAGATTAGTACAATTAGAAAATCTAACTCAATAGAGTAAGTAAGATATATAATTCTAGTTAAGAATAGGAGTATATTTGCTCATTTTTAATTGTTACATTTTTAATTATTAATAATTGTTAAGCTCTCAATTTTTACACGTCAGTAAATATGGGTACAAAAATCTGTTAGATTGGACAAAATAGGCACACAACAAATCTATTGTTCAGAGCCGAGACGCAAATTGGCTTTTTGCGTTCGCCTTCCTCACTTACGCCACAACTATCACCGTTTCCAAACTCTGCGTTTTGTTCCGATTTCCTTTTTTTTTTTTTTTTTTTTTTTTTTTTTTTTTTTTTTTTTTTTTTTTTTTTTTTTAGATTGGCAATAGTATAAAAGATTTTATATTGCATGCGGTCAGTATTGGCTAAAATCGGAAGGAAGTATCAAAATTACTAAGCTTTAGGGTCCAATTTGGAGATAAAAAAAAAAAAAAAATCCCGTGTAATTGGTTGCTGTTTGGGCTCATTTTTTATTAATTGATTATTGATTATCTTCTACAGGAAAATGGAAGATCAGAAGGTAATTGTTTGTACGTGTTGACAAAATTAACTATTTTGATAGTCATTAGTTGTTTTGTGAAAAACTACTCAAATTGCCAGATACTCTCAAACGCTTTAAAATAAGTTACAGCTATCAAAATAGTTAACTTCACTAAACAAATAGCTAAATTTTTCTGAACAAACAGCTACCAATTTTAACGAACAACGTTATAAAATCTTGTTAGCTAGAAATATATAATTATTTTTGTTTGTGCGTCCAACATTTAATTTTGGAAAAATAATAATGCTAATTAAAGTTTCCTTCTTTGAAAGTTCTGAATTTTTTGCTTATCTTTCATATAATACAACATCATAAAAAATATATATACACAATGTTATGCTGGAATTTACTTACTGCTGCTGAAGTCCCCAAACAAACATTTGGCTTTTGTTTTTCATGCTAATTTAACTGTTTTAAGGAAGATTGAGTTGTTAGTGTGTTAGACATATGATGTGAATATAAAAATTCTATATTGATTAAACATAAAAATATAGAGAACTTATATGCATATAAATTCTTAAATTTAATTTTTGATATGTGATTATGAATTATTTTTATAATTTATTGAAAATAAATTATTTATATTGAAAAAAAAAAATTGGAAATAGAGCTTATGTAAGCAGAAGTTGAATATAATGTATATGAGCTTATACCAATATATCTGCTTTCTCCGTTGTGTGTGTGGCTGTCTATCGAAGTTTGGGTAGGTAACTCGTGAGCTTCTGATTTTGTACTTTTTGTGATGTTAAATCTTCTTCTTGAAAAAGGCAAATCGGAGCCTCGTTTTATATGCTTAAATAAATGTCGTCTTTACTTTTACATTTGGTGAATGTTGTTCGTATCTGAACAATGTTTGGCATAATTTTGATCCTTGTTTCCTTTACTTTTACATTTGGTGAATGTTGTTCGTATCTGAACAATGTTTGGCATAATTTTGATCCTTGTTTCTCATGGTGGCAACAGCCCTTATACCAATATATCTGCTTTCTTTCTTGTTTGTGTAAGTGGTTGTCTGGAGAACTTTGGGTGGGTGACTCGTGAGCTTCTGATTTTGAGGTTTTTTCTGATGTTCAATCTTCTGCTTGATAAAGGCGAATCTGAGCCTCCTTTTTATATGCTTAAATCATGCTTGGCTTTAGATTTACATTCGTTGAATGTTGTTGGTATGAGAACAAAGTTGGGCACAATTTCGATCCTTGTTTCACATGATGGCAACAGCCCGTGTACCAATATATCTTTTTTCTTTCTTGTGTGTGTGAGTGGCTGTCTGGCGAACTTTGGTGGGTGACTCGTGAGCTTCTGATTTTGAGCCCTTTTGTGATGTTCAATTTTATGCTTGAAAAGGCAAATCTGAGCCTGCTTTTATATGCTTAAATCAAGGTTGGGTTTAGTTTACTTTGGTTGGGTGACTCCTGTGTTTCTGATTTTGAGCTCTTCTGTGATGTTCAATCTTCTGCTTGAAAAATGCGAATCTGAGTCTCCTTTTATATGCTTAAATCAAGGTCCGCTTTAGTTCTACATTCGGTGAATGTTGTTCGTATGTGAATAAAGTTTGGCATAATTTTGATCCTTGTTTCTCTTGTTGCCAACAGCCCTTGTAACTCGTGAGCTTTTGATTTTGAGCTCTTTTGTGATATTCAATTTTCTGCTTTAAAAAGGTGAATCTAATCCTCCTCTTATATGCTTAAATCAAGGTCGGTTTTAGTATTACATTCGGTGAATGTTGTTGGTATGCGAACAAAGTTTGGCATAATTTTGATCAGTCTCTCACGTTGGCCACAGCCCTTGTACTAATATATCTGCTTTTTTTCTCATGTGTGAGTGGCTGTCTTGCGAACTTTTGGTGGGTTACTTGTGAGCTTCTAATTTTGAGCTCTTTTGTGATCCATTTTTCGCTTAAAAAAGATGAATCTTAGCCTCCTTTTATATGGTTAAAATGAAAACTGGTATGCATATTTTAGATCAAAAACATAGAAAATGATACCACTAATGATAAAATTTTTCTTTAAAACTGTGACGATCTAACTTAATGCAACAACGTGGTCAAGTATAATTAACTATAGTTGTTTAGTTTATAAACTTAATTAGTAGTTAATTGGCAATGTTAGGTAGTCTTTATGTACGTAATTAAATGTTTCCAAAGGTAACTCTAGTTAATTAGTTATCTTACTAGTCAACTAATTAACTAAGTTGTTTAGTTTATGAACTTAATTAGTAGTTAATTAAAGTTAATTGGTAATGTACTATTAACTCTAGTTAATCAGCAATGTTAGATGCTTAGCTATTAATATATGAGCTTAATTACTTGTCAGCTATAGTTATTAAAATTCTTGCTAAATTATCAAAATATCTTCAACTTTATAAGTTTTTACAATTTTATCATATATTGATCCATTTTGTCAATTTTATTCTAATTTTGTCATCTTATATCAATAACACCCTCAATTATAATTAAGAAAGGAATTGCAAATAAAAAGAATATTTACATACCTTTTTAAATCATCATCCGAATTTGATAAAAAAATCAGATTAAAATTTTTTACATGACACCCTAAAAAAATAATCGCTGCGTCAGTAGGTGGTCGCATTAATTAGGCGTCCCCTTCTCCTATAAATAGGAGAAGTTCGCAGCTCACAATACACACTAGCAAGAAGAATGAACACAAAAGAGAGAAAAATATGTGTTTTGAGAGGGAGAGAGTTGTCTAGTTTTAGAAAGGGTCCTAAGATAGGGAAAAATAATGAGGATAATTTTTGAGTCCTATTATTTTTGTATTACTCTCTTTGTAAGCCTAATATTTTTAATAGTGGAAGAAATATTCGGACTTGGTCCCGTGGATGTAACCCTAAATAGTTAAGGGTGAACCACGTAAATTATGTGTGTCGCAATTTTATTTTTCAGCTGCCGTAATTATTCTCGTAGTTTATTGTCGGGACCCTAACAAAAAGATCGTCGATTAATTTAGCATTGGAGTGTTGGGTTTGAGTCTAACAAATTTAGCATTATTCTTTACTATGGTTACTATGTCATGATCCACCAAAGTAAGAAATATAACAAAGGTATTACACTTTCTAGTTTTGAATTATACTTGATTAAATTTTCTCTGTTTTCAAAATTTTGAGTTTTCTCAAATCTTGCATGGCGAAACTTCTATGATGTTCGAAACTTCTATGATGTTGTCTTGGACTGTCCTTACTGGTGCTGAATTGTTTAGACAAGTGTCAATTATGTTAGGCCTTTGTTCTTTGCCTGCTCCAACATTTATTTGACTATCATGAGGCAGCATTGACTTGTCTGGCCCTTTTTAACAGAAGCATCCAAATTTCATATTGATATGTATTAATTTTACAACTCTTGCAACCTACAGATTTTGTTGGACATCTGCTATCATGATCTGCAAATTACGATATTTATAAGTTAAAATCATCTGGTTTCAAAATATGGCCTTATGTTTATGTGGCAGAACAATTTATGCGGGAAATGCGCTTTGTACTGTTCGGTATACTGGCGCCAATCCTTGTATGTTGACCATTAGATCGACCTCTTTTCAAGTACCAGCTGTCTCAGCTGATTTAAAATCCAATGAAGCCCCAATTTCCCAGATTGATCTCTCAACCTTTGGTGAAGGTCTGTTTACCTTTATCTAATAATTTTGTTGGCTAGCACCTGCTTCGTGATAAGGCTCATGACCCTCTTCATAGTTCTTGCAAATATTTTCCATGCTAATTGATTATTTTTGTGGGTAAAATTACATATTTGTTTTATATGGAAGAGAAAGGATTTGTCTTATGGTTTTTCACAATTCTGTTGTAGATTCTATTGGTAAGTTCTATTGGTTAAGTCTAAGGTATCTTGCAGGCATGATAGGTATCTGCAGCATACCTCTCAGGATACAGAGCGCCCTGACCTCGGAAGTGCAAGAATTGTGGTGACAGGGGGCCGGGCGTTGAAAAGTGCAGAGAACTTCAAAATGATTGAGAAGCTTGCAGAAAAGCTCGGTGCAGCTGGTACTGCGTTTTCCATTTGTTAAATTATTGGGGATTTCGCTCGCACACTGCAGAGAAAGCGAGAGTCTGTTCGAGCTCTCAAATCTGAACAAATTAGCACACAACAAATCTATTGTTGAGAGCCGAGACGCAAATTGGCTTTTCGCGTTCGCCATCCTCACTCACGCCACAACTATCTCCGTTTCCAAACTCTGCGTTTTGTTCCGAATTTTCTTTTTTAGATTGGCGATAGTATAAAAGAGTTTATTGCATGCGGTCAGTATAGGCTAAAATCGGAAGGAAGTATCAAAATTACTAAGCTCTAGGGTCCAATTTGGAGATAAAAAAAAAAGCCACGTGTAATTGGTTGCTGTTTGGACTTATTTTTTATTAATTGGTTATTGATTATCTTCTACACAAAAATGGAAGATTAGAAGGTAATCGATTGTACTTTTTGATAAAATTAACTATTTTAATAGTTATTAGTTATTTTGTGAAAAACTATTCAAATTGCCAGACACTGCCAAACGCTCTAAAATAAATAACAGATGTCAAAATAGTTAAATTTATTGAACAAATAGCTAAATTTTTCTGAAGAAATAGCTATCAACTTTAACGAACAATGTTATAAAATCTTGTTAGCATAGAAATATATAATTATCTTTGTTTGTGCGTCAAACATTTAATTATTTTGGAAAAATAATAATGCTAATTAAAGTTTCCTTCTTTGAAAGTTCTGAATTTTTTGCTTATCTTTCATATAATACAACATTATAAAAAATATATATACACAATGTTATGCTGGAATTTACTTACTGCTGCTGAAGTTATATACACAATGTTATGCTGGAATTTACTTACTGCTGCTGAAGTGTCCAAACAAACATTTGGCCTTTGTTTTTCATACTAATTTTACTGTTTTGAGGAAGATTGAATTGTTATTGTGTTAGACATATGATGTGAATATAAAAATTCTATATTGATTAAACATAAAAATATATAGAACTTATATGCATATAAATTCTCATCTTTAATTTTTGATATGTGATTATGAATTATTTTTATAATTTATTGGAAATAAATTATTTATATTGAAAAAAAAAATGGAAATAGAGCTTATGTAACCAGTAGTTGAATATAATTTATATGAGTTGTCAGTGCTAATTAAAATTCTTACTAAATAATATATCAAAATATCTTAAACTTTATAAGTTTTTACAATTTCATCTTATATTGATCTATTTTGTCAATTTTATCATAATTTTGTCATTTCGTATCAATAACACCCTCAATTATAATTAAGAAAGGAATTGCAAATAAAAAGAATATTCACATGACTTTTTAAATCATCATCCGAATTTGATAGAAAAAACCAGATTAAATTTTTTTACATAACACCCTAAAAAAAAATTTCACATTAAATTTTAATTTTTAAAATAAATGTGCTAAGATCATTTTTTATAATGTATTTTTATGTATAATAATGTAAATGTTTCAAATAGATTTATGATATAAATTTTCATTTTTATTTGTTGGAAAATAATATTTTAATCCTAGATTTTAATATCACTTTTAAATATTTATCTTTATTTATAATCAATTTCATAAATATTTGTGATATAATAATTTAATTTTTTCAATGCATACAATTTTAAAAATGGAGAAAAAGAAAAGAACAATTATATATAACCTGAATGTATATATATATAGATTTACAGCTGAACAAATAAGTGTTGCGCCTTTGTTTAATTAGTCCAATTAGAGAAGTGGACCTTTATTATTTGTTTGAGTCCATTTACTTGTGCCACGTTATACACTAACCTTGGGAACCCAAACTCCATCTTTTGTTTTCTCATTTTCTTAGAAACCTTTGAGCGCCGCATCCATGAATATCTGGTTCACCATTTCCACAATACTCTCCCTCTCTGATCCGAACAAGATTTGAACTTGGGATCTACTAGAAGAAATTGCAACTGTTAGGGTGTCCTTGGACAATATATTGCAATTCTTTGCTCTATCTGTTTATATATTTCAAATTTTTATTCAAGTAAATTGTTGTACACATCCATGGCTCAATTAGCCTTCTAAAGCTATTTTCTTTTAGTTTTCCCCCTTTTTCCGGTCCACCTTCAAACAAATGATTTGTTTTCATTGTATATGATGCCCGGTTTCTTTTGTTTTTCCACCGATATAAGCTTCAACTTAATTGGCTCTCCTTATTGGCTCTCCTTGAAAGATGCCATCAAAGGAAAGTTTACTGTCCTTGACAATGTTTACTGTCCTTGACAATGTTCAGTGGTTTGAGATTCTTGAAGGCAAGCAAGAGAATTCTATGCCTGCTATTGAGTTGATGGGGCTCAGAAGATTGGCAAGAGAGAGGCAAGAATGCTGTCAATGAGCCAATGGAAGAGGCTGCAATTTGCAAGACTACTGGCCGACCAATTTGGTTTCTGGATGAGCCTTCTGTTGCATTAGATGATGAAGGGGTAAAATTGCTCAAAACATTATTCCAGTTGCAACGCAATTGCCAACTGAGACTGCCTCTGAGGTTCCCTAGAATGATGACTTTAGAAGATATGCTTGATCGAGTCGAGATCTCATAAAATTCCATCACTGCAGGTTAGGCTAATTAACTTGCTCTCCCCAAGTTACCGTGTGTATGTTTTTTTTTTTTTTTTTTTTTTTTTTTTTTTTTTTTTGTCCTATGCTTATAATGTGAGTGACAGTAGGAGAAGTGAATTTTACGCGTATGATTTTATTTACCAAATTACCTTTAATTTAGTGCTCTCCCCAAGTTACCGTTATGCTCCACCGCCCAACGAAGGGTATCGCGGAATAAAAGGAAAATAAGAAGTTACCATAAAATGCGTACAAATCAAGCACTCTTGAGAATGAGGCTTTGCTCTCAGAGAGGCGGCAAAGAAGGCGGTTGCTCTGCCTCTCTGAACGACTGCGGAGCCGATGATTTCTCCGTCATTTGTGTAATAGCCGCCGTTTGTCTGTGTGCATTATCATCATCATTCTCTTCTTTTTCGGGCTTCTTTCTTTCTTTCTTTGCTTTTACAAAGAGGCTGTGACGATTTTTGTTCGTTATTTTTCTTGACAAAAAAAATTTGCAATTGCTTTGCAGAAATTATTGCTGTGTGAATGGTTTAAGTACCAGGCTTTTGCTCTCAGTGAGAGGCGGTTGTTTAAGGGTCGTTGACCCAGTGCTCTCTGATAGCTAGCGGGAGCGTGACTACTAATTACGTTTTTTATGTGGGCAACAAACCCTTATTTACCAATTATATCTGCTTTGTTTCTTGTTTGTGGGTGTTCAGTGGCTGTTCTGGCGACTGGCGAGGCTGATGATATATTTCTTTGCAGCCTAAAAGTTGTACTCGACGTGAATACTCAATTTCTTGGCAAGGCAAACTTTTGTTTGGCAAGGCAACCTTTTGTTGTTGCAGCGCAGATGTTGTGGTGTTTCTGTCCTGTCCAATTTGAAGGCATATCTGATCTGAGCCTTCTCTTTCTCCAGATTTCTCTATTTCTGATTGGGCCTCCATCCTCTACAGTCTCTCACTCTTCATTTTCTTAGATTTTTGTTCTGTTAATTTTTTTCTAAAATGAAAAATTGGCAATTGCTTTTGCATGAAATATGTTTACCTTGAGATTTCTGTGTTAATGGTTTTAAGTACGAGGCTTTGCTCTCAGTGAGAGGCGGTGGTTTAAGGGTGGTTGACCCAGTGCTCTCTGAGCCGGTGACTACTAATTACGTTTTTTATGTTGGCAACAACCCTTATACCAATATATCTGCTTTGTTTCTTGTGTGTGTGAGTGGCTGTCTGGCAGACTGTCGAGGCTTTGATGATATGTTCTTTGAGCCTGAAACGTTGGACTCGAGGAGAAATACTCAATTTCTTGGCAAGGCAACCTTTTGTTGTTGCAGAGCCGATGTTGTGGTGTTTTTGTCCTGTCCAATTTGAAGGCATATCTGATCTGAGCCTTCTCTTTCTCCAGATTTCTCTATTTCTGTTTGGGCCTCCATCGTCTACAATCTCTCACTCTTCATTTTCTTCGATTTTTGTTCTGTTATTTTTTTTCTAAAATGAAAAATTGGCAATTGCTTTTGCATGAAATATTATTGTTTACCTTAAGGGATTCTTGTGAATTGGTTTAAGTACCGAGGCTTTTGCTCTCAGTTGGAGAGGCGGTTGGTTTCAGGATGGTTGGGCTCGGTCCTCCTGATAAGCTACAGAAGCCTGGTGACTAGCTATTACGTTTTTTTATATGTGGCAACACCCTTATACCAATATATCTGCTTTCTTTCTTGTGTGTTGTCCAGTGGCTGTCTGGCGACTGGCGAGGGGGCGACTGGCGAGGCTATGATGATATATTCTTTGAGCCTGAAAAGTTGGACTCGAGGAGAAATACTCAATTTCTTGGCAAGGCAACCTTTTGTTGTTGCAAGCCGATGTTGTGGTGTTTCTGTCCTGTCCAATTTGAAGGCATATATGATCTGAGCCTTCTTCTTTCTCCAGATTTCTCTATTTCTGTTTGGGCCTCCATCCTCTACAATCTTTCACTGTTCATTTTCTTCAATTTTTGTTCTGTTATCTTTTTTCTAAAATGAAAAATTGTATGTTTACCTTAAGATTTCTGTGTGAATGGTTTAAGTACGAGGCTTTGCTCTCAGTGAGAGGCGGTTGTTTCAGGGTGTTGACCCAGTGCTCTCTGATAGCTATAGCTAGCGGAGCCGGTGACTACTGATTATCGTTTCTTATGTTGGCGAAACTTTGGGTTGGGTTGGACTCGTGACCTTCTTGATTTTTAGCTCTTTTTGTGATTGGTGCAATCTTTCTGCCTGAAAAGGGCAAATCGGAGCCCTCCTTTATTATTGGCTAAATCAAAGCTGCTTGAAAGTTTACTTTGGTTGGGGTGACGTGAGCTTCCTATTTTTGAGCTCTTTTGGATATTCAATCTTCTGCTTGAAAAGGGCGAATGGTTGAGCCTCCTTTTATTAGCTTAAAATCAAGGTTGGCCTTAGATTGCTTTGGGGGGTGAACCGTTGAGCTTCTGGATTGAGCTATTTTTGTCATATTCCAATCTCTGCTTGACAATAGGCGAAATTTGTTAGCCCTCGTTTATACTTGTTTCTCATGTTGGCAACAACCCTTAATACCAATATATTTGCTTTCTTTCTTGTGGGTGTGAGTGGCTGTCTGGCGAACTTTGGGTGGGTGTCTTGTGAGCTTCTGATTTTTAACTCTTTTGTGATGTTCAATCCTCTGCTTGAAAAAGGCGAATTGGAGCCTCCATTTATATTCTTAAATCAAGGGTGGCTTGAGTTTACTTTGGTTGGGTGAATCGTGAGCTTCTGATTTTGAGCTCTTTTTTGATGTTCAATCTTTTGCTTGAAAAAAGGCGAATTTGAGCCTCTTTTATATTAAATCAAGGTCAGCTTTAGTTCTACATTCACCGAATGTTGTTGGTTTGTGACGGCATGTTGAATAAAGTTTTTGCATAATTTTTAACACTTGTTTGTCATGTGCAGTATACAATATATCTGCTTTCTCTCTTGGTGTACGAGTGGCTGTCTGGCGGAGGTTAGGTTTTGGTGGGTGACCCGTGAGCTTCTAATTGTGAGCTCTTTTGGGATATTCAATCTTCTGCTTGAAAAAGGCGAATGTGAGCCTCCTTTTATATGCTTAAATCGAGGTTGGCTTTAGATTGCTTTGGGGGTGAACCGTGAGCTTCTGAATTTGAGCTATTTTGTGATATTCAATCTTCTGCTTGACAGTAGGCAAATTTGAGCCTCCTTTTATATGCTGCTGCTTAAATCAACGTTTGCCTTAGTTTGCTTTCGGTGGGTGACTCATGAGCTACTGATTTTGAGCTCCTTTTTCAGGTTCAATCTTTTGCTTGAAAAAGGTGAATCTGAGCCTCCTTATAATAAATAAAGGTTGGGTTTATGTTTACATTCTATGAATGTTGTTCGTATGTGAAAGGTCGGCTTTGGTGAACTTTGGTGAAAGGCCACTTGTGAGCTTCTAATATTGAGCTCTTTTCCAATGTTCAATCTTCTGCATGAAAAAGGCGAATATGAGCCTCGCGAATATGAGCCTCATTTTATATGCTTAAATCAAGGTCGGGTTTAGTTTTACATTCGGTGAATGTTGTTGGCATGTGAATCAAGTTTTGCATAATTTTAATACTTGTTTCTCATGTTGGCAGCAGCCCATATACCAATATATCTGCTTTCTTTCTTGTGTGTGAGTGGCTGTCTGGCGAGGTTTTGGTGGGTGACACGTGAGCTTTTGATTGTGAGCTCTTTTGGGATATTCAATCTTCTGCTTGAAAAAGGCGAATGTGAGCCTCCTTTTATATGCTTAAATCAAGGTTGGCTTTAGATTGCTTTGGTTGGCTTTAGATTGCTTTGGGGGGTGAACCGTGAGCTTCTGAATTTGAGCTATTTTTTGATATTCAATCTTCTGCTTGACAGCAGGCAAATTTGAGATTCCTTTTATATGCTTAAATCAAGGATGACTTTAGTTTGCTTTCGGTGGGTGACTCGTGAGCTACTGATTTTGAGCTCCTTTTTTATGTTCAATCTTCTGCTTGAAAAAGGTGAATCTGAGCCTCCTTTTATACATAAATAAAGGTTGGGATTATTTTTACATTCTGTGAATGTTGTTCGTATGTAAAAGGTCGGCTTTGGTGAAAGGCCACTTGTGAGCTTCTAACATTGAGCTCTTTACCAATGCTCAATCTTCTGCTTGAAAAAGGTGAATATGAGCCTCATTTTGTATGCTTAAATCAAGGTTGGCTTTAGTTTTACATTCGGTGAATGTTGTTGGCATGTGAATAAAGTTTTGCATAATTTTAATACTTGTTTCTCATGTTGGCAGCCAGCCCATATCTGCTTTCTTTTCTTTGTGTGTGAGTGGCTGTCTGGCGAGGTTTTGGTGGGTGAACCCGTGAGCCTTCTGATTGTTGAGGGTCTTTTGGATATTCAATATTCTGCCGTGAAAAAGGCGAATGTGGCTGGCTTTATATGCTAAAATCAAGGTTGCTTTTAGGGTTGGCTTTAGATTGCTTTGGGGGGTGAACCGTGAGCTTCTGAATTTGAGCTATTTTGTCATATTCAATCTTCTGCTTGAAAAAGGCGAATCTGAACCTCATTTTATTTGCTGCTGCTTAAATCAAGGTTGGCTTTAGTTTTACGTTCGGTGAATGTTCTTGGTATGTGAATAAAGTTATGCATAATTTTGATCATTGTTTCTCATGTTGGCAACAGCCTTTATACCAATATGTCTGCTTTCTTTCTTGTGTGTTTGAGTGGCTGTCTGGCGAGGTTTTGGCGGGTGACCTGTGAGCCTCTGATGTTGAGCTCTTTTGTGATATTCAATCTTCTGCTTGAAAAATATGAATCTTCTGCCTGATAAAGTCGAATCTGAGCCTCCTTTTATATGCTTAAATCATGGTCGGCTTTAGTTTTACATTCGTTGAATGTTGTTGGAATGAGAACAAAGTTTGGCATGATTTTGATCCTTATTTCTCATATTGGCAATAGCCCAATTTCTCATATTGGCAATAGCCCAAATACCAATACATCTGCTTTTTTTCTTGTGCTGCTAGTAGTGCTGCCTCTTGCCATCCTTCAGTTTCACAGGCATGTTATTCTTTTCCATTTTTTTATTGGGCTAGGTTTAATTGTGTCATATGTTGTTTTTGTAATTGGTATGTTTTGTGTAGGTTCTTGTTGCTGATTCAGATAAATTTACTCATTCTTTAGCAGAACCATGGGCTAGATTAGTCCATTTGGTTCAGCAGAAAGGTGGCTACTCACATATAGTTGCTGCTTGAAATTCATTTGGAAAAAAACATATTGCCTCGTGCAGCTGCCCTTTTAGATGTTTCTCCAATAACTGATGTTGTTAATATTTCTAGTTCTAGTCAATTTTTCAGGTACTTATCATTGTCTTTTGGTTCCAATTATCTTATTAGTAACTGCTATTTTTTAGGGATAATTGATTGTTTGCCTTAGTTGAATTTTCCTGACACTGTAATTTTTATTCGAGTAAGCATCTCAGTGATATCTTTATGTAGGCTTGTGCAATCCTAGTCAATTAGTTGATACGATTAATCTTTATGCATACTTTTGTAATTAAATTTTATTCACATGCAGTCCGTGTGCTGTCAAGAGACATTAGCTTTTGTGTGTTAGGTTTTGAGTCTAACAAATTTAGCATTATTCTTTGTAATTAAATTTTATTCACATGCAGTCCGTGTGCTGTCAAGAGACATTAGCTTTTGTGTGTTAGGTTTTGAGTCTAACAAATTTAGCATTATTCTTTACTATGGTTACTATGTCATGATCCACCAAAGTAAGAAATATAACAAAGGCATTACACTTTCTAGTTTTGAATTATACTTGATTAAACTTTCTCTGTTTTCAAAATTTTGAGTTTTCTCGAATCTTGCATGGCGAAACTTCTATGATGTTGTCTTGGACTGTCCTTACTGGTGCTGAATTGTTTAGACTAGTGTTGAATATATTAGGCCTTTGTTCTTTGCCTGCCTGCTCCAACATTTATTTAACTATCATGAGGCAGCATTGACTCGTCTGACCCTTTTTAACAGAAGTATCCAAATTTCATACTGATACGTGAAATATAATGGAAATTATAGTTTCATGTGTGGGCGTTTTATGGGTGCAGTTTATGATTTGTCAAATGTTTATGACTGACTTCACTGTACAAATAAGTCGAAAATGTTGCAATTGGTTATAAATTGAGTAGTTTCAGTAAAAGGCATGGTGTCTGTCAAGTGATAAAGCTGACACGATAGTTTACAAGCTCTATTGCTCTCAAAAAGAAAAGAGAGAGAAACAAAGAAGAAAAAATAATTTTCAAAAACCTAAAATATGTATTAATTTTACAACTCTTGCAACCTACAGATTTTCTTGGACATCTGCTATCATAATCTGCAACTTACGATATTTATAAGTTAAAATCATCTGGTTTCAAAATATGGCCTTATGTTTATGTGGCTCACCAATTTATGCGGGAAATGCGCTTTGTACTGTTCGGTATACCGGCACCAATCCTTGTATGTTAACCATTAGATCGACCTCTTTTCAAGTACCAGCTGTCTCAGCTAATTTAAAATCCAATGAAGCTCCAATTTCCCAGGTTGATCTCTCAACCTTTGGTGAAGGTCTGTTTACCTTTATCTTTAATTTTGTTTGCTAGCATCTGCTTCGTGATAAGGCTCATTGACCCTCTTCATAGTTCTTGCAAATAATTTCCATGCTAATTGATTATTTTTGTGGGTAAAATTACATATTTGTTTTATACGGAAGAGAAAGGATTTGTCTTATGGTTTTTCACAATTCTGTTGTAGATTCTATTGGTAAGTCTAGGTATCTGCAGCATACCTCTCAGGATACAGAGCGCTCTGACCTTTGCTTTGGGTGACCCGTGAGCTTCTTATTTTGAGCTCTTTTTTATGTTCAATCTTATGCTTGAAAAAGGTGAATCTAAGCATCCTTTTATATGCTTAAATAAAGGTCGGGTTTAGTTTTACATTCGGTGAATATTGTTCGTATCTAAACAAAGTTTGGCATAATTTTGGTCCTTATTTCTCATGTTGCTAACAGCCCTTATACGAATATATCTGCTGTTTTTTATTTCTTTTGTGTGTGAGTGTCTGTCTTGCGAACTTTGGGTGGGTGAATCGTGAGCTTCTAATTTAGCTGTTTTGTGATGTTCAATCTTCCGCTTGAAAAAGGCGAATCTGAGCCTCCTTTTACATGCTTAAACAAAGGCCTGCTTGAGTTTACTTTCGTTGGGTGACTCGTGAGCTTCTGATTTTGAGCATTTTTGTCATATTCAATCTTCTGCTTTCAAAAGGTGAATTTGAGCCTCCTTTTATATGCTTAAATCAAGGTTGGCTTCAGTTTGCTTTGGCTGGGTGAGTCGTGAGCTTCTAATTTTTCAGCTCTTTTTTTATGTTTAATCTTCTGCTTGAAAAAGGCGAATCTGAGCCTCCTTTTATATTCTTAAATAAAGGTTAGACTTTAGTTTTACATTCGGTGAATGTTGTTGGTTAGACTTTAGTTTTACATTCGGTGAATGTTGTTGGCATGTGGACAAAGTTTGGCATAATTTTGATCTTCGCTTCTCATGTTGGCAACAGCCCTTATACCAATATATCTGGTTTCTTTCTTGTGTGTGTGTGGCTGTCTGGCGAACTTTGGCTGGCTGACTCGTGAGCTTTCAATTTTGAGCACTTTTGTGATGTTCAATTTTATGCTTGAAAAAGGCGAATCTGAATCACCTTCTATATGCTTTTAAATCAAGGTCGTCTTTAGTTTACTTTGGTTGGGTGACTCGTGAGTTTCTGATTTTGAGCTCTTTTGTGATATTAAATCTTCTGCTTGAAAAAGGCGAATCTGAGCCTCTTTTATACGCTTAAATCATCGTCGGCTCTAGATTGCCTTGGGTGAGTGACTCGTGAGCTTCTGATTTTGATCTCTTTTGTGATGTTCAATCTTCAGATTGAAAAAGTCGAATCAAGTTTACTTTTGTAGGGTTACTCGTGACCTTCTGATTTTGAATTTTTTTGTGATGTTCAATCTTCTGCTTGAAAAATGAGAATCGGAGTCTCCTTTTATATGCTTAAATCAAGGTCGGCTTTAGTTTTACATTCGGTGAATGTTGTTGGTATGTGAACAAAGTTTAGCATAGTTTTGATCCTTGTTTCTCATATTGGCAGCTGCCCTTACACCAATATATCTGCTTTCGTTCTTGTGTGTGTGATTGGCTGTTTGGCAAATGGGTGACTTGTGAGCTTGTGATTTGAGCTCTTGTGATGTTTATTCTTCTGCCTGAAAATGCGAATTTCAGCCTCCTTTTTGTGTGCTTAAATCAATGTCGACTTTAGTTTTACATTCAGTGAATGTTGTTGGTACATGAACAAAGTTTGGCGTAATATGGATTTTTACTTCTCATGTTGGCAACAGCCCTTGTACCAATATATTTGCTTTCTTCTTGTGGGTATGAGTGGCTGTCTGGCGAACTTTGGGTGGGTGACTCGTGAGCTTCTGATTTTTAGCTCTTTTGTGATGTTCAATCTTCTGCTTGAAAAAGGCGAATCTTCAATCTCTTTTGTGATGTTCAATCTTCTGCTTGAAAAAGGCGAATCTGAGCCTCCTTTTATATGCTTAAATCAAGGGTGGCTTGAGTTTACTTTGGTTGGTTGACTCGTGAGCTTCTAATTTTGACCTCTTTTGCGATGTTCCATCTTCTGCTTGAAAAAGGTGAATTTCAGCCTCCTTTTATATTAAATCAAGGTCGGCTTTAGTTTTACATTCATCGAATGTTGTTGGTTTGTGAATAAAGTTTTGCGTAATTTTGATCCTTGTTGTTGTTAGTATGAGAACAATGTTTGCATAGCTTCCCATGTTGGCAACAGCCCTTATACCAATATATCTGCTTTCTTTCTTCTGCGTGTGTGTGGCTGTCTGGCGAACTTTGGGTGGGTGACTTGTGACTTTTTGATTTTGAGTTCTTTTGTGATGTTTAATTTTATGCTTGAACAAGGCGAATCTGAGTCACCTTTTATATGCTTTTAAATCAAGGTCGTCTTTAGTTTACTTCGGTTGGTTGACTCGTGAGTTTCTGATTTTGAGCTCTTTTGTGATATTAAAATCTTCTGCTTGAAAAAGGCAAATCTGAGCCTCTTTTTATACGCTTAAATCACGGTCGGCTCTAGATTGCCTTGGGTGGGTGACTCGTGAGATTCTGATTTTGAGCTCTTTTGTGATGTTCAATTTTATGCTTGAAAAAGGCGAATCTGAGCCTCTTTTTATATGCTTAAATCAAGGTTGGGGTTAGTTTACTTCGGTTGGTTGACTCCTGTGCTTCTGATTTTGAGCTATTCTGTGATGTTCAATCTTCTGCTTGAAAAATGCGAATTTGAGTCTCCTTTTATATGCTTAAATCAAGGTCCGCTTTAGTTTTACATTCGGTGAATGTTGTGTTTCGTATTGTGAATAAGTTTGGCATAAATTTTGGATTCCTTGATTCCTCTTGTTGCCAACAGCCCTTATATGGAAATCTTATCCTGTTTTCTTTCTTGTGTGTATGACGTGGGCTGTCTGCTGTCTGGCGAACTTTGGGTGGGTGACTCGTGAGTTTCTGATTTTGGGCTGTTTTGTGATGTTCAATCTTCTGCTTGAAAAAGGCAAATCTGAGCCTCTTTTTGTTTGCTTAAATCAAGGTTAACTTTAGTTTTACATCGGTGAATGTTGTTGGTATGTGAACAAAGTTTGGCGAATTTTGATCCTTCTTGTTGTTGGTATGTGAGAAAATTTTGGCATAATTTTGATCCTTGTTTCTCGTGTTGGCAACTGCCCTTATACCAAAAAATCTGTTTTCTTTCTTGTGTGAACTTTGGGTAGGTAACTCGTGAGCTTTGATTTTGAGCTCTTTTGTGATGTTCAATTTTCTGCTTTAAAAAGGTGAATCTAATTCTCTTATATGCTTTAAATCAAGGTTGGCTTTAGTTTTACATTCGGTGAATGTTGTTGGTATGCGAACAAAGTTTGGCATAATTTTGATCAGTCTCTCATGTTGGCCACAGCCCTTGTACTAATATATCTTAATTTTGATCAGTCTCTCATGTTGGCCACAGCCCTTGTACTAATATATCTGCTTTTTTTCTTGTGTGTGAGTGGCGGTCTTGCAAACTTTTGGTGGGTGGCTCGTGAGCTTCTGATTTTGAGCTTTTTTGTGATCCATTTTTTGCGTAAAAAAGATGAATCTTAGCGTCATTTTATATGCTTAAATCTCTGTTGGCTTTGAGAGGTGGATGGTTTCGGGGTGATAGACTAGATTTGATCACAGCAGAGAGAGGTCAAAATGAAAACAGAACTCACTAACAGTTAATTGGTAATGTAGAATTAACTCCTAGTTAATTAGCAATGTTAGATGCTTTAGCTATTAATATATGAGCTTAATCACTAGTCAACTATAGTTAATAATTTTAGATAATCTTCTTAACCATAATCACTTAGATAGTCTACTTAGGTTATGTAGTTAATTAATATAGGTAACTATAGTTATCTAGTAATTAACTATAGTTGCTTAGTTTATGAAGTTAGATATTCTTCTTGAACGTGGAGACTTAGATTAGTACAATTAGAAAATCTAACTCAATAGAGTAAGTAAGATATAATTATAGTTAAGAATTGGAGTATATTTGCTCATTTTTAATTGTTAAAAGTTATACTCATTTTTAATTATTAATAATTCTTAAACTCTCAATTTTTACATGTCAGTAAATATGGGTACAAAAATCTGTTAGATTGGACAAAATAGGCACAAGCTGATTTTGTGGCCCATGCAAAATCGAGTACCCCAGAGTCAAATCTGCGTAGATGATAGACGCCTGTTTACGTCAAACTGGACAACCTAAAATTCTGCTTTTACATTTATATAACCTTCGCTGTACGTTATACTTGTCTGTTTTACAGAATAAAGCATGCCCCACTTATTTTTTATTTTTAGTATGATATTACCTGAGGATGGTTCGCTTCGAACTATGTCATTGGCTTATTATTTTATTTAGGGTGAGAGGCGACTTGTCTTTGTTTACTTTTTTTTAAGAAGCAACTATATCATTAGCGTTTTTCTTTTATATAGGGTAAGAAGCGGCTGCTCTTTTATATCTTCCATCATTTCAAAAATTTTCCTTTATGGATTCTTCGATTGCTTTTCTGCTGAGAACATTACATCTTTTCAAATTAAAATTAATAATAACCATCTTTAGTTTTATATATAAAACAGAAAGCTTGTTTTGATATTTAGTTAATCCCACTATTGAAATAATAGTTTTTATGTTTTTGCAGCCATTTAAAAGTTTTTATGTTTTTATGTTTTTGAAATAATAGATAGTGACTTTTTGGATCAATTTAGCTATTGAATTTGTATAAAATGATAAAAGAGATTCCATTTCACTTTTTAGGTTAATTTAATACCTGAATTTATCTAAAATGACAAAAAAAAAATCATATTTGACATTTTGAGTTAATTTAATTTTCAATGTTTCATTGCACTTATAATTAAAAAATTAATTAAAAATATAGAAAAAAAAAAGATATGTGAATAGATTGAAGTTAGAAAGAATTTTTATAAATTTAATATATTATAGAAAAATATGTTTTATGAAATTAAATTTATATTCATAATTGTTGGAAAAGTTTGATCTTAGTGTTGGTAGTGTAAAAATGGCTAAAAAGTCATTGATGTTAAATTAAATTAATTATTTATTTATAAAAAATCAAAATAAGTTCAAAGATTAAATGGATTATATATATATATATATGTTGCTCCCTTAAATAGTTTCTTGATGATGATAACTTAAAATACGGTCTTGTCAAAGAATCTCGTGGATGATTGTTATTTTAATCTGCCGTTCATGGTTCAATTAGAAAGTCATAAAAATATTAATATATATAAAAATAATTATAATATGATTATATTTTAATCTGCCGTTCATGTTCAAATAGAAAGTCATAAAAATATATATATATATATATTATTATATATATATATATATATAATATATATATATATAATATATGTTGCTCCCATAAAATAGTTTCTTGATGATGATAACTTTAAAAATACGGTCTTTGTCAAGAATCTCGTGGATGATTGTTATTTAATCTGCCTTCAATTGGTTCAATTAAGAAAGTCAAAAAAATATTAATATAATATAATAATTATAATATGATTATAAATAATTAAAAAATCAAAGAGTAGGTTTGAGTCGATTAGAACAATGCAGATCAATTGGTTCGACTACGATTCACTCGTTTAATTCGATTTTCTTTTTTAAATAATTCAAAAGTAATATTGATTCGATTTTTAATCTAATTTAATTGTTTCCAAATTGGCCATTGAAACCAAGTCGGATTCAATAATCATTCTTAAAATTATGATTTCATGTCACTTAGAAGTTTTTATTCAGGACTTAAAACTATAAAAATACCCTGAATTTTGTGACCTGTTGCAAAATTACTGTACTTTGAATTTTATATTTCAGGCACCACGATCTTGAAATTTAGATATATCGGCACCTCAAATTCAAAAGTAACAGATTTTTAAATAATATATTATATTACTAAGACCCATTAGTTATCTTTGGATTAACTTAATCCATCAAACTAAAACGCAACGTTTCCCTTGCTCCATCTCTTTTTTTTTTTTTTTTTTTTTTTTTTTTTTTTTTATGGTTTTTGAATTTTTTTTTTTTTTTTTTTTTTTTATGTTTTTGAATTGTTAGTCTTGTTCCTTTCTTTTTATAATTAAGCCAAGTGTATGGTTGATTCCATATAATTAATAAAAGAGTCTTTTTTTTTTTAAAAAAAATGATATCATTTTGTTTTTTTTCTTAGTACATGGTCAAAAATACGCTCATTTAGAAAAAAATATTATTTATAATTGGTTTAGTGCATAGGTGAACTCATCCTCGGTAAGTCTTTCATTGCATTTTTAATTGGTTTATGGTTATGAATGTATAAATATATATTACTTAAATGTAAAATTAACTTCTATTATGTTAGTGCTTATGAAATCTATGCGTTTTTCATGGTGAATAGATTTTTCAAGGTGAATAGATTGAAGTTAGAATGAATTTTCATAAATTTAATATATTATAGAAAAATATGTTTTATGAAATTAAATTTATATTCATAATTGTTGGAAAAATTTGATCTTAGTGTTGGTAGTGTAAAAATGGCTAAAAAGTCATTGATGTTAAATTAAATTAATTATTTATTTATAAAAATCAAAATAAGTTCAAAAATTAAATGTATTAAATATCGAATATTTTTAATTATTTTATACAAGTTCAAGGGCTAATTGGTCCAAAAGGTCAAATTTGACCTTTTTGATTCTGCTAAACAAGTATATAGACTAAACTAACCTTTATTCCATAAATATACCTATACTACATATAAATGTGGGATGGGGAATAATGAATTATAGTTGTTTAGTTTATGAACTTAATTAATAGTTAATTATAGTTAATTGACAATGTTAGATAGTCTTTATGTACGTAATTAGTTATGTTACTGGTCAACTAATTAACTAAGTTGTTTAGTTTATGAACTTAATTAGTAGTTAATTAAAGTCAATTGGTAATGTGCAATTAACTCTAGTTAATTAGCAATGTTAGATGCTTTAGCTATTAATATATGAGCTTAATTACTTGTCAACTATAGTTATTAAAATTCTTGTTAAATTATCACAGTTTTTACAATTTTATCATATATTGATCCATTTTGTCAATTTTATCCTAATTTTGTCATTTTGTATCAATAACACCCTCAATTATAATTAAGAAAGGAATTGCAAATAAAAAGAATATTTACATAACTTTTTAAATCATCATCCGAATTTAATAAAAAAATCAGATTAAAATTTTTTACATAACACCCTAAAAAAATAATCGCTCATTAAATTTTAATTTTTAATATAAATGTGCTAATTAATAATTTAATAAAAATATTTTGTTACTTACCAAAAAGTCACCAACCGTTGCATGAAATTAAATTAATAAAATATAAGTTTCGATTACATATTTTATTAATATTATCTACAAATCCTAAATTTTGAATTGGTAATAGTCAAAATATTATTTTAAATACACATGTAGTTAATATCATACTTCTAAATATATAAACATATTACCCACTGGATGCGACTATAATTTGATATTCAAAATTTTACTTTTTATCATTAATTTCTTTAAAAATGGAAATATTTTTTTGTTTTCAATTCCTTCATTAATTATAATTGAAGGTGTTATTACTACGATATGTTGAAAATTAGGTTAAAATTGACAAAGTAAAATAGGGTGAAATTGTAAAGAAAACATAAAATTGTGGGTATTTTGATACATTGACCCTATATTTAATCAAATTGTTGGATGCAAATCAATCATCAATTGTATGAAATAATTAAATCGACCACTCTCTAATTACTTTTTTAATATTTGCAAAACCAAATACTTGTTTTTCTTCCTTACTATACAAAAAAAATTAACGTCTTCTAACTATTTTTTTTATATTACAATTAAAAAATTATTACTATTTAATTACTCATATTTAGTATTTAATTATCGTTTAGTCTTTTTGTTTAATAATAAAATATTTTTTTAATGGTGGACTAAATAGTTTAATGAAGTTAAATTTAATGATTGATTAGTGTATTTATTAAACAAGATGGATACAAAGATAATTATGGCCAACATATGTTGACTAAATAGTTATTTACTCTTATCCTTATCCAATCCAATTATTCCGACGTCGTTTGAGAATCTTTATATAACGCGACCAATTTTTGTCATCTGCATACCCATTTTCACATTCCGAAATCCGAACAGAAGTTGAATCAAACAAGAAATGGCAATGCTTAGAGCTTTCAAAACCACCACCTTCCGTCGATTTTCCTCTTCAATCTCCACGTTCAGATCTGTAAGCCCTTTCTGCTTGCCTGTCCACACAGAAAATGAAGCCCAAAAGATCGTCGATTAATTTTTAATGAGTTTCTCGATAGCAGTTATGCAATTTGAAGTACTAATTGATTATCTTGTTAATTATGTAGGTGAGCACACTAGTTGTAGCAGAACACGAAGGTGGTGCTATAAAGGCTCCATCTTTGAGTGCCATAGAGGCTGCAAAGGCTCTGGGTGGTGATAATTCAATTTCTATTCTTGTAGCTGGATCAGGTCCTTCTCTTCATGAAGCTGCTAGTAGTGCTGCCTCTTGCCATCCTTCAATTTCACAGGCATGTTATTCTCTTCCATTTTTTTATTGGGCTAGGTTTAATCGTGTCATATGTTGTTTTTATAATTGGTATGTTTTGTGTAGGTTCTTGTCGCTGATTCAGATAAATTTACTCATTCTTTAGCAGAACCATGGGCTAGGTTAGTCCATTTGGTTCAGCAGAAAGGTGGCTACTCACATATAGTTGCTGCTTCAAATTCATTTGGAAAAAACATATTGCCTCGTGCAGCTGCCCTTTTAGATGTTTCTCCAATTACTGATGTTGTTAATATTTCTAGTTCTAGTCAATTTGTCAGGTACTTATCATTGTCTTTTGGGTTCCAATTATCTTATTAGTAACTGCTATTTTTTAGGGTTCATTGATTGTTTGCCTTAGTTGAATTTTCCTGACACTGTAATTTTTATTCGAGTAAGCATCTCAGTGATATCTTTATGTTGGCTTGTGCAATCCTAGTCAATTAGTTGATACGATTAATCTTTATGCTTACTTTTGTAATTAAATTTTATTCACATGCAGTCCTTGTGCTGTCAAGAGACATTAGCTTTTGTGTAGCGTTTTTGAGTCTCACAAATTTAGCATGTATTGCTTTACTAGTGACTATGTCAATCCACCAAAGTAAGAAATATAACAAAGGTATTACACTTTCTAGTTTTGAATTATACTTGATTAAATTTTCTCTGTTTTCAAAATTTTGAGTTTTCTTGAATCTTGCATGGCGAAACTTCTATGATGTTGTCTTGGACTGTCCTTACTGGTGCTGAATTGTTTAGACTAGTGTCAATTATATTAGGCCTTTGTTCTTTGCCTGCTCCAACATTTATTTAACTAGCATGAGGCAGCATTGACACGTCTGACCCTTTTTAACAGAAGTATCCAAATTTCATACTGATACGTGAAATGTAATGGAAGTTACTTATTGGAAATTATAGTTTCATGTGTGGGCGTTTTATGGGTGCAGTTGATGATTTGTCAAATGTTTATGACTGACTTCACTGTACAAATAAGTCGAAAATGTTGCAATTGGTTATAAATTGAGTAGTTTCAGTAAAAGGCATGGTGTCTGTCAAGTGATAAAGCTGACACAATAATTTACAGCTCTATTGCTCTCAAAAAGAAAAAAGAGAGAGAACCAAAGAAGAAAAAATAATTTTCAAAAACCTAAAATATGTATTAATTTTACAACTCTTGCAACCTACAGATTTTCTTGGACATCTGCTATCATGATCTGCAAGTTACGATATTTATAAGTTAAAATCATCTGGTTTCAAAATATGGCCTTATGTTTATGTGGCAGACCAATTTATGCCGGAAATGCGCTTTGTACTGTTCGGTATACTGGCACCAATCCTTGTATGTTGACCATTAGATCGACCTCTTTTCAAGTACCAACTGTCTCAGCTGATTTAAAATCCAATGAAGCTCCAATTTCCCAGGTTGATCTCTCAACCTTTGGTGAAGGTCTGTTTACCTTTATCTGATAATTTTGTTGGCTAGCATCTGCTTCGTGATAAGGCTCAGGACCCTCTTCATAGTTCTTGCAAATATTTTCCATGCTAATTGATTATTTTTGTGGGTAAAATTACATATTTGTTTTATATGGAAGAGAAAGGATTTGTCTTATGGTTTTTCACAATTCTGTTGAGAGCGCCCTGACCTCGGAAGTGCAAGAATTGTGGTGACTGGGGGCCGGGCATTGAAAAGTGCAGAGAACTTCAAAATGATTGAGAAGCTTGCAGAAAAGCTTGGTGCAGCTGGTACTGCTTTTTCCATTTGTTAAATTATTGTGGATTTCTCCTATGTTATCTTCTTGTAATATGGGTCCTGACAGCTTCTTCATTTTTATTTAACAAATGACATGACATTTTGTGCTTCATTAAGTGGAGTGTTTTTTTCACCTTGTTTTTCTGTTTCTCTTTAGTTGGTGCTACCCGTGCTGCTGTCGACGCAGGATTTGTTCCAAATGATCTCCAGGTAACATTCATGGTGCTGGGTGCTTCTTTCCAACTTAAGCATAGGATATAACTTCAATGGAATATCAAATGTTTTAAGAATATATTAAATTACTGAAAAATGGGTATGCATTGTGAGGGTTTTACTGCTTCCTGCCCTTGTCATAGAAATGATAATATTGCAAATGTAGTTGAAAATGCATTCTGGCTTGAAATGAGCCTTTTGTTGAAGACCAAAGCTTTTTTTTGATATAAAGCGAAGGCTTTATTTCTGCCAGCCAAAATAAAATGAAAATACATCTATGGACATTGCAATTGGAATCTGAAGAGCTTTTGAAATGCGTTGCAATGATTGGAGGTGGCCATTTGTTCGTAGCCCATATCATAATTGGCAACTTTTGCTATTCCCAGGATTCGTACGTATTAATTACCCTGGTTTGGTTGTAACTGCTTTTCTTGCCAGGTTGGTCAGACTGGAAAAATTGTTGCCCCAGAATTATACATGGCTTTTGGTGTTTCTGGAGCCATTCAACACATAGCTGGCATGAGAGATTCCAGGGTCATTGTTGCTGTAAATAAAGATTCAGATGCACCTATTTTCCAGGTGATGGCTCTCTCTCTCTCTCTCTGAGATGTTGCCGGGTTTATAACACATTGAATATTTTTGTTTTCATGTGATATGAGTTTTCTCGTCTAGTGTGCTACAATGTAATAATCAGTGTCTAATGGGATTTGAGGCCTTTGTTACATGAACCCCAAATTCCATGTTAAAAGCCACAAGGAATGGTTGTCAACTTGTATATATGTGCAGATAGAGGTGAGGGGCTCCCTTTTAAAAAAATATAAGGAATTCATCCGTAGCTATCAAGGATATAACAACTTCCCTAAACCTTCAACTATTATACGCGTTGAAGCTCTTCTCCCATATTCCATTTTACAAGTGCCCAATTGTAACCATTCAAAATCCGAATATTGTAACTAAACTTTAAATCATTGTCATGCATTGATTTCATTTATTGCCTTAAGAGTCAAATTTTTGTAAATATATGCAATTTGCTATTTCCTAATCCTAAAAAGATTGCACTTGGACTGTTATATCTGTGGCAAAAATAAATATATGCCGAATGGTCCTCTAACAAATTGATAATTTATGCTATCTTGCTGGAAACCCCTCAATTCAATTCCCTGTGAGGAAGAAGGGGAAATAAGGAACAGGCCTAGGTTAAGCACCAGAAAGACCTTAAAGTGCAGAGAGAGTTATATTTGGAAAATGGAAACAAACCAGGAGTTTAGACAACCCTTCAAGGGATATTATATTTCTCATTGTATTTGTAAGTTGTGTACCTAGTTCTTCTCCTGGATGCAATGTGCTATAGCATTAGTATTTCAGTTTACATATAAATAACATAGCATGATGAATTCACGGTTGCCATTTTACTTGCTCCTGAATTGGTTGTACTTGACGAGTTCCACTTGGAGATGAAAGTGGTCCTTAACACAAAAATATGCAGGATTCTGTTATATTAACAAATTTGGGTATTACAACTGGGATCTATAATATAATTGGTTTCGAGAAGTGAAATCAATCATTTATGTTTTTTGCTTCCTAATTTACACCCGCTACTTTACGAATTAAGAGGATCCAAGTAGATTTGCATTCAATAGTTGATTCAATTTTATAAAATGTCAAAGTTTATCCATTAACTTTGTTTGCAATTCATTTTTTTCCTAAATGGATGGACCCTATGGCTGCAGGTAGCTGATTATGGACTAGTTGGTGATCTTTTTGAGGTGATACCAGGGTTATTGGAGAAGCTTCCTGAGAAAAAGTAGATCCTGTATACCTGAAAACTGAAAGTCTACATAAAGGAATACAATCTCTTGTTCAATAAGAATGTTTCAATTGGAAGATACTAAAAACAATAGCAATAATGAAAAGGGAATTTGATATCTATTTTACTAACTTGAACAATTCTAGTCTTTGGAAGAGCTGATTCTTTTTTTTTTTACCTTCTTTTCATTCTGGTCAGATATATTCAAGTTATGATATGCAATAATTTTTAAATCCTTTAGCTAATATCAGTAAGTTCTAGTGAAAAAGATAAATAAATACATAGAGGCTGTACCCTTTGGCATACAGCCAAACAAGTACACTTACAATGTAAACCAATTGATTCTTATTTAGAGATGTATGATAAGAGGACAATAAACAACAGACAGAGTAATAAATATGGATTTCAATGTTGTCCCTACAAATATCCCTTTCAAAGGCACTTCCAAAATTGGGAGCTTCCACTTTTTCCTTTTCCTTTTTTATCGCCTTATGCGATGAAGAAAATATATCACGAAAAAAAAGAGATCTTGGACCTATATTGAGAAATATAAATCAAAAAAAAGTACCAATGTCTCAAGCGCATCTGGTGTAGTGGTATCATAGTACCCTCCCACGGTACTGACCGGGGTTCGATTACCCGGATGCGCAAATTCGTTATATTTATTTTAATATTATATTTTCGGTAATTTCTAAATAAAAGAAATTTGTCATATTTCTTGACATATATCGGTATCAATTCCAACATTATTTTATTTGTTTTATTTGGCTGAAACATTTATATTTAGTTTTACTTCACATATTCTTATTTAATCAATTAGATATAGAATTATAAGTTTTAGATTAAAAGAAAATTATAATTGGTTTATATATTTTCAAAATATACTTGTATTTAATGCTTTTTTTATTTGAAAATAAAAAAAATAAGTCTTTTCATCAATAGATAAAAGTTTTTTCATAAAATTCAAAACCTAAGCTATTGGCCGTTTGGCCCTATGCCACACCATTCAAGCTTAATTATATTTTTTACCTTCGACGTGTTATCAATATAACAAATCGATATCAGTAGCAGTCCTTCAAACATTTTTTTTTTTTTTTAGCCAAATTCTCCATTGGCCACCGGTAAAATAAAGGTCTAAAAATGCATGGTGGATATTTAGAGCAGTAGACACAAATCCAAGAATGCCAAAAGTGGGGTTGCGGTCTTTTGGCAACTTTAAAATGCTGATAGAAAGAAACATTTGATTGGAAAATTGTTAACCCATATAAAAATAAAAACAGAAAGGTCTAAAAATTGCATGGTGGACATTGAAATTTTTGGAGGCACACCTGCCACCATTGAAATGACCATAGCCAAGCCAATCCATGGTGGGGTTAGAGCCAGAAGTTAGAGATCATATGGTGATCTTCTTGAGAGCATTTGATAATGGAGAAATGACTTTGATTGGACTTGGTTTGTGCTTGTAGCCACTCGAAGATAGTACAACGAAGATCGAAGGCAGGTAATACGTTTTTCTTCATAGATAATTTTTGAGCTTGGACTTGATGCCTTGATCTAACATAACATGTGTGTGTGTATTATTCCTTTTAGCATGTGAAAGATGGACCTATGACATGTTCAAATTGGTAGAAATATTGCCTTTTTAGCCTAATAAAGTTACTAGATAATAAGTTCTTGTTTCCCAAACAAAAACCATATGGGGACTCTGGTATTTGTTTTCTTTTTGGATTGATGAAAGACCTTGTGGACTTAGTTTGCACCAGAAGAGAACATTTTATAGAAAGAAAAGTAAGAAAATTTTTTCATTTTTTTTAGAAATTATAAAAAGAGAAGAGAATTATTCATTTCGAAGAGGGCAATTTTGAACTCAAGATCTGTTTTTCCTTTTATTTTTTTTTTTTATTTATACCAGGTACTTCTAACCCATTGAATTAAAACTGTTCCGCAATAACTTTTCAAATAGCTTTTAGACAAAACGCTAAATACTATTTTTTTACAATGTTCGGTAACATAGTGTTTGGACTAATTTTTAGAGGTTAAGCTACATTTTATGAAAAGTTAACCCATGTAACGTTTAACTTTTAGCATTTCATAAAAAATTACTCAAACAACTAAACGTTAAACGCTATTAAAACAGCTAATAGCTACTAAAACAACTAATTTTGCTGAACAAACCATAAGTCTCTAATCCTGTTTGCAACGCATCAAAGAGGGAAGTTGCCCTCGGTAAATATTTTCTCCATTTACAAAAATTGAACACTTAACCTCTTACTTAAAAATTCTGAATCATTTCCACTCAAATTTACCCATTGTTCAAACTCTATTTAATTTTTTTATATATAATTAGGAGGTGTAATCATTTTTGGACTGTACAACGTAAAAGTTTTTACCCTCCCAATAAAGCGTATTTTCGGAGATTAAACTTGTGTTATAATAGAAAATAGATTTCTACTTAATAATTCATTCCTAAGAAAATCAAGAAACATATTCGTCGCTAATATTTTTGAGGTTGACCATAAGAGGGAGAGGGATGATGATGATGAAGTGTCGGCAGTCGAGTCGGCTGGGTATGGGGTTTGGAATATTAATTACTGGCTGACAAAAGCATTTCTGACCCCTAAAATTATTTTGTGTTTGGTGTTGGCTTTTTTATTATGTTCATAAAATATTTAGTAGAAGTTCATCTTCAAATGAAACCTGAATGTACAGGCTGAGGTAATTATTATATAATATGCTTTTAATAATTTATACTTGAAGGTTAGTCATCTAGAAAAAGGTCCAAAGAAATTTCTTTATGCAAATGCAGGGTCTAAGGAACTCATTGAAATTTTTTAATTTTTTTTTCTCAAATCGGAGGCATTCAGGATCGTATTACCGTACATATAATTTGACTATTCTCATCCCTTTAGGAGGTAAGTAAAGTGCTAACTTCTAAGAGAATTTTATGTGTCGAGAATTTATGACGTCATAAATATCTCAATTGTGTTTAGCCATTATGTTATTTTCGTGGTTTATTGAAATTTAAAAATTTTTTTTTTTATATATAATGGAATCATTTAGGTTTGATTTTCTATATTTTTAACAGAATGGTCGTTTTCTAATTACCAAGAATATGCCTGAAATTTTATAAAATAGACCATGATTTAATCACATCACATGCATGATATTCAAAAAGTGGGACTTTGTTGCTTCCTGCTGTACAAATAAAATCAGCAACTCACCCAATTGTTCCACTATTCCAATTCTCATATTATTATTATTATTTTATAGTGGATTGCTAATAAAAACAACTAATAAAATTACATATACTTAAAAATAGTATTAATGTCTATAACCCGTCATGCTCTCCTAAGAATTAATCGTTCCTTGAAAAGAAAATACTAATTAAATAATTCTCAATTTTTTATATATATAGTGGTTAGTATTCACAAGTCAGTTATTTAACTAATCAAACACTAAAAGTTTAAGGAGCCAGAAAAGTTGAAATTTAAGTGTAAAAAGGAGAAATTAATTAAGCTAGATATACCCAACTGCGAAACTAATTAGTTTAATTGCTAGTTTGCGCCAAGCCCATAAAAGGGAAAATGCTCCCTTTTATAAAAATCGAACATTCAATCTCTTACTTAAAGAACTCGAATCATTTCCACTCAAATCAATTTTGTTTCGTTAAGGTACACGATTCTAACATTTCTAAATCAGGAGAAAAACGTTTATAATTACACAGTTAATCTATAACCAAATGCCTTACTTGTTTGGGTATAAATTAGGGCTCCAATCTTTAAAAGGAAAGGTTCCTCTATATATATAGCAATGCACGTATTAATTTTATGGCCTTTGACATAGAAAGCTTCCTAACATTGAAAACCATGTATAAGGAATATTTGTTTCGTTTGATGTCATTCTTTTAAATTATTTTTTAACATAAAAAATTGTCGTTTGTACATAATTAAAAAACCTACAATAATATTAAAATGAGCAGTGAAAATATCTCATTTTTTAAAAATTATATTTAAAAAAATAATCAAATTAAAGTCCGGTAAAAATTAAAACTAACTGAACGACTTTTAAAATAAATAATCAAAATAAATTTTTTTTTTTTTTGTTATTCTTCTGTGTAAAATAAAGTTTTCTTTTGTAGATAATGCTATTACAATAGTTTTGTCCAATGGCGTCTTTGTCGTTAACGTATTTTTCCTTGAAAAAAATCACGGGGAAGAGAAACTAGTTTGCATGAAATATACATATATTTCAAATGTTGCAGAAAATTTATGAAGGGTCTCAATCCTGCTATATACAAGAGAAACATCCATTTTTCTGCATGTGAATTTCACTGCCGTACGTACTGGTCTATTCTAATGGATAGAGAGACAGAGACGACTAATAATTAATTACGATATTGTAATTAATTGGCCAAAATAATTCACCGTTATAAAAAATAATAGGGTTTGAGTCGGTAGGCAATCTCCGTCCGGAAATATTATTTTCATTTCCAATCTCTATCTTTTATCCGATACCTTATCGAGAAGGTAATGTTATTTTTATTTTCAAACTCAATGGATTCAAGTGATATTAATAATGAATGCTATTTACCTGCAAGTACATATATGATCTATAACAAATAATTCATATCTAGCTATATATATTAAAGTATTAGAAAAAGGATTTGAATTTGGATTTATTACCGTATCGTACATGGAAGCTCTTAATTCAACTGTATAAAATTAATTATGTTATATTTTAAATTTATCTATTAAAATAAAATTTTGAAAATAAAAATTAAAATATATATAAAATATAAATATTATATATACTTTCTATATATTACAAATTTTAGAGTGAATCCATTGTTACGGTTATAATACATGCAGTATGTGCTAATAAATACACTCAATAAAGTAAATATGTAGTTTTTACACAAGTTTCCTACAAATATATATATATATAATATAATCATATATATATATAAATATAATTAGTATCTATATATCTAAGTTTATGAAAAGTTACATGCTACAATCTTAAAAAAGTCACAGTATTTCTAATCTTGCAGGTTCTAGATTTCCAATTAGGGTATTTTCCATCTTCAAAAGTTTGGATTCGAATTTAGAATCGTGTTATCGGTACTCTATTTATACCCAGAATAAAACTCTGGGAATTTACCCAAATATAATCAAATCACAATTTTCAGATTTGAGTAGGTTCGGACTGAGTGCATACCCATTAGGATTAGGTCAGGTTGATTTTGCTATCCCTGACCATGGACAAAGGAACTAAACAAAGACCCCTTTTCCTCAGTTCTGTACTTTCTCTTTCCCTTCCAATAAAACCCAAATGATCACTTCTGCTCTCATCATCTGCTATGCCACTTATTATTCCTTTTGCCTGCAAAATTAATGAACAAAATTATTCAACATATGAAAAAAGAATTATGAATATTTACCTAGTGGGTGTTTAATAATTAATTTACCTACCTGTGATAATGAAATATCCATGTTGTTATGTCTCTGTTTTGTGCTCTTATTGAACTGATTCATCATATCATAAACCTGCATATTTATTTTCACATAAACAAAAAGAGAATAGTATAAGTAATATAACTCTTTCTCTTCTAAAATTTTCTGATATAATTATTAAAAAGAATATAATTGATAGGAAAAAGAAAAGAAAACAGAATATATATATATAACAGCTCTGACCTTGGGGCTATTGACAGGAGAACTAGCAGTATCCTCCAAAGCATCATCATCAACCAAAGAATTATTAGCAATGCCTTTGGATTTTCTCTTCTTGAAACTCAACTTGCTATAACATTTATTTGCAATGGATAAGGATAACCCAACAGATTCTTGTTCACAATTATATTTACAGTTATCAGGATTTTTCTTCAGAGCCAAAGAAGCAGCATCAGATACTAAAGAAGAAGAAGTTTCATAATCATCAAAAGAGAAACAACAATTTTGATGATCCAAATTGACATCATTATCATTATTATTCTTGTTGTCTTTCGCAAAGAAATCTTCAAGATACATAGTCCAACCACTCTCTTCAAAACTATCATCAACTACTGTTCTCATTGAATCCTCCATTATATATCTCCATTATATAATATAATATTATTAAAAAATTAATATATATATATTTCAAAAACAAGAAGAAGGAAGAGAGAAGAAAGAAGACAAAACAAGAAGAAGAAGAAGAAGAAGAAGAAGAAGAAGAAGAATACAAGAAAAAGGAGAGAGAGAGATGTGTTTGTGTGTGTGTGTTTGTATATATTTATATATATAAATGAAGCTGATTTGTTGGCTAGTTCTAGAGGAACCCTTTTGAGGAACTATATATAGAAAAGAGAGCACTGAAATTTTTTTTTGAGAATGATTAACTATGTGACGTGTTATTGTTGGAATCTTGGAATAAATGGGGCCATAAAGGAGGTTGGAGAAGATAATTATTTATCTATTTATTTAATTATTTATCTATGTGTGAGAAAAAGAGAGCTTGACCTTGTTGGTACATAGTGGATTAGATATGCACCAACATAGATTCATTTGCCAAGTTATTAGTATTTCTTTTTAAATTTTGGTTTCTGGTGTCCCTATAATTCCATTCATTTTAAATTTTATTATGTTGGTTCATATACGGGTCTATGTACTTAAGTAACGAGTGATATTCACAATCTGCTCAATAAAATTAACGATTTTGACAGTTATTAATTGTTTTAGTAGCATTTAACTGCTGGTTATTTGAGTAACTTTTCATGAAACGGTAAAAATTAAACGTTAAATGAGTTAACTATTCACGAAACGTTACCATAACCTTTAAAAATTAGTCTAAACATTATGTTACCGAACAACTTTTAAGTGCCGATTAAAATGTTAAAACTAGTTAAAAAACTGTTGTCTAATACAATTTTAAAACCGGTTGTTGATTATTTATCTCCTATTTTATATGATATTTATTTAATTCTCATTTGTTGGGACCATGTACATGTATTTATTTTCAAGAAATGGAGTACGTACATGTACATTAGTGTTAGGTATACAATCAAGTTCCAACTTACGAATTAAAGATTCATTTGATAAAAGCGGTTGGGAACAAACAATCTTTGGGTCTTTGACATTCGAGTTCTAAACAGAATGAGCTCTCAACCATTAATTTAAAGTATTTGATAAATATAAAAATGAATTTGACGTATGAAAATTTTAATGATTAATAATTTAAAATTAGTAATTAAAATTTTAAAATTTAAATATCAAAAATTAGATTTCTGGCTGTTAGTATTTGGCTCTTTAATATTTAGCTGCTAACTATGAATATTTAATTATTGATTCCCATAACTCTCAACAAACTATAAATAATCAATCCAAATCAAATTATTCTGAGATTATATTTAATTTCATATAAAATTTAATGAGTTTTCATATTTGATGGAAAAGAAAAGTAATTTTAAAATTAAATTTATAAAATTTCATTGCTGATGAGAGGTGATGACACAACTGCTGATAAGTGATAGCTAGTATGGAATATAATACAGCCACCACCGCACGTTTGCCTCAATCTAATTTTTTTTTTATTTGTAAAAAAAAAAAATTAAACTAAGAAAAAGAAAAAAAAGGAGAGGTGAAAATCAGAGATGTATATATATATATAATTTAACCCCAAAATTCAAGCTCAATTAGCTTGCTCTTAAGAGTCAGAACTGCGTAGAATTGCATAATTACATTTGAGACTTCTCTTTAGGTCATCATAAAAATTTTTATTAATCGAAATGGTTCAAACTCGAGACTTTTATTCTCTATTTTAATATAAAAAACAAACTGAATCACACTCGATTCGCAACTTAAATGCTTAATCCATAACCATGCATTATTCAATATTCTAAATAATCTATTTTTTATTATTATTATTTTGGTATAATACAACTATAGGTTAGGAAATTCTTGTTTATAAAGGAAATTTCATTTTTTTAAAAAATATCACAAAAGAAACATAATAAATTGTACTTTATTCCAATAAGCGGATTTGATATTCATCAATATATGCTTTTTTTTTTTTTCTAAATTAAGAAATCAAAAACATTCTTGAGCCTAATCATTAGGGTGGAATATATGTATAATAGCCAATTGACTTGAAGGAGAGATAATTTTTTTTTATTTTAATTAAAAGAGGCTAAAATGACAAATTATACTTTATTCCCTTGTTCCAAAATTTTTAATGACTTAGTTTGGTATGTAACTTATTCATAATTAAATTAATTAGCTTTGCAATAAGATGCTTAAGGTTGCTCACCTAATTAATTATACACTTCACTATATAATTCCACTTGAATTAAAATAAAAAAAAAAGTCAATTAAAAATCATTAACTTCTGTTTGAAAGGAATTTTATGCATTAACAAATAATTTTGTTCTTAGAATATGTCACTTTATACTTAATTAGCAAGTGCTGATAATTAATAACTAACTTAGTATTTTAAACTGGATTAAAAATAAAGAAATTTAGTCAAAGCTTCTATGTCACTGATCGAACCGAACCATTTTAGTTCAGTTAGTATACTCAAAGGAGTTCGATTTATTAAATTATTCGGTTTGAACTGAATCACTATTTGGTTTGACTCGCTTTTATATAAATTAATCAGATAGATTTAAAATCGAATTGAGATAACAAAACTTTGCAACGGAGTTGGAAAACATTCATTAATATTGTGTTCCATTGAAGAGAACCTACCTTAAAAACAAATTATTAAAGGCTAATAGCTATCATAAGACATGCTTTTACTTTCAATCCTTAGACAAGAATGAATAACTATGAGACACTAAAGAAAAAATGTTGGATTTAGAAGATTACAAAAATGACAGTGGGAGATGTTTGCATATGACATGGCAAAGGGCTTGTAATTGAGGGACATGGATAGACATGACCACTCAGTAATTGTCCTATGCAAAAACTTTTCCCAAATGAAACAATTATATATAGGATTCTTGCACCTTCACCATCGATTGAAATGGCTTTAATGGAAAGTTCTATCTATCTACCTAGCTTTAATTAATTCTTCTGCCTGGTATTCATTCCTCTTTGTCCTAAAAATTGAACTACTTAATTCATAGGTAATATATATATATATATATATTTTTCTATTTGTCCCATTTATAGTAATGTTTTTCCATAATTAGGTTATGTTTTGTCCCATTTATGAAAGTAGATTTTAACTTTTTGATTTTTTCTCTAAGAAATTTTTTTTAGAAATATCTAAAAGATCACAACTAATCAAAATCTTTAAATTCTAAATTCTAAATCTTAAATTTAAAATTAACATTGAAAAAATGTTATATAATTAGGAGATTAGAGATTTAATTGCAACAGTTTCCACTCCTTTAAAAATTTTCAATAATTTTTCTAAGAAAATTGAGATGTATATGTATGTATATATGTATGCATGTATATGTGTATGTATGTATGTAGAACTTTTTTTTTTTTTTTTTTTTTTTTTTTTTTTTTTTTTTTTTTTAAATATTATTTTCTTAATTTGTTTCATTGGCCTGTAGGTTCTATTCTTTATGATAGAAGATTTTGTAAGATATCATTTTAACTAAAAATACTTTCTGAATATAATTTATCAAAGGTAGATGGAGCTTAAACCTACTCCCATCCCATTCTCTTGTTTATTTATTGGGTATTGATGAAGTCACCCATGGGGGAACCAAACATAAATAGCTTAATTAATTATTTATTTATTAGAGGGAGAAGTATCTTATTTTGAATAATATGGACAAGTGAAATTGATGCCAATTGCTTGGTGGGTCCAGTATAAAATGATTAATCAGGGAAATTGCTAAATCTAATCATGATTTGGCTCTTAGAGCTAGTTAGATGAATGTCCTTTCAATGATCAATAATTGTCAGTCATTATCCTCAGACTTTTTTTTTTTTTTTTTTTTTTTTGAAAATGTCATTATCCACTCAGTCTTGGAAACTTACATATTATGAATAAATATAATGTAGTCACATGATAATTTATGTTCTATGATTTCAGTAATTATCCAAAGTTTTTTTAAAAGGGCAAGGCATGTTATTGAGTTTAAAAACTATAATAACCTCCCTTGGTATGGGATACTTATTACACTCAGAGCACATTTTAAATAAAATATAGCATTATATTTTAACTGATAAAAAACATAATTAGTCGAATTTCAAGTTTATTTAATCAATTCGTTTAATAAATGAGCGCGAGCTTGCAAAAATTTCCATATCAAGTTAGCTCGTCGAACGTGTTCAGATAGGAAAACAAGTTGCAAATTTTTTTTAACTCACAATTATAATAAAAAATACAGTTGAAAGATTGAGCTTGAAATTTTAAACAAGGTGATCAGTCATAAATAAAAATTAATTCTTACCCAATTGAGATTACAAAAATTAACTTAAAAATGGTATAATACAATATTAAGAATTATTAGAAATTTTAATTGTTGTTTAAAAATTTTATATGTTGAATTAATTTGAAAAGAATTATCAGAAATTCCTAATATCCTTAGTATTAAAATTCAAATCTAAATAAAAGATGTTCCTCTTCAAATGTATAATTCACTTTTTTGCCACTCTTAAATTGAACAATGAAGTTGTTTTTTAACAAATAAAGTCTAATAGTGAAAAGGAAAGTACATATTTTTTTTTTTTTTTTTTTGAAAATGTCATTATCCTCAGTCTTGGAAACACATATATATGAATAATAAATAATGTAGCACATGATAATTATGTTTGTTTCAGTAATATCCAAAGTTTTTTAAAAAGGGCAAGGCATGTTATTGAGTTTAAAACTTTAACCTCCTTTGGTATGGGATACATAACTCAGTAGCTACATTTTAATAATATAGCATTATATGATAAAACATAATTAGTCGAATTCAAGTTTATTTATCAATCTCGTTTAATAAATGAGCCGAGCTTGCAAATTTCATTATCAAGTTAGCTCGTGAACGTGTTCAGCAATAGAAAACAAGTTGCAATTTTTTTAACTCACAATTATAAATAAGTTGAAATTGAGCTTGAAATTTTTTAAACAAGGTGATCAGTCATAAATAAAATTATTTTAAATTATTAAAAATTAACTTAATA